CCAATAGAGACTGCTTATTTATTTCCAAACACCAGGGCTACCCTCAGGTAAATAGAACCTTGTTTATGGTGGATAAAACAAGTAGTTAAGTTCGGTTCCAAGTCTGGTTAGAAAGATCTCCATGAACACATGGTTTCTATTTAAATGTGCTTTTGTTTTAAGAACATGTGGTTATTTTTTAAAAGGACAGAATACTGCCAAAATGCATACCAACAGCCAGTGATCACTCATCACTCTTTAAATTCTTAATCTAAAAAAGAGTTCAAGAATACTGCTATGTGCACAAAGGATAAATCTCCAAAAGCAGATGAGTGAAAGATGTCAGACAGAAAAAAAAACTAGATACCAGGTGACTGCATTTCTATGAAATTCCAGAGCAGACAAAATTCTTCTGTTGTGATAGAAATAAGAATAATGGTTGTCTTTGAAGAAGTAAACTTCTGGAGGGCTGGAAATACCCTGTGAATGGATCTAGATGAGGGTTAGATGGATGGACGTGCAGTGAAGATTCACTGAGTTGTACATTTCTAATGTATGCACCTACTGTGTATAACTCAAACCCTAATAAAAGTGTTCTGAAGAGTTAAAAAAAAAAACACTACATAATAACTTTTGATCTTACACTTTACTGTAAAATATAGTTAAATGTAATGATGAATAATATTTAAGTGAATGTAACATTTTAAATGTTTAAGTAATTGGCTCACCGGTAAAGAATCCACCTGCAGGTTCAATCCCTGGGTTGGGAAGAGCCGCTAGAGGAGGAAATGGCAACCCACTCCAGTATTCTTGCCTGGGAAATCCTATGGAGAGAGGAGCCTGGCAGGCTACAGTCCAGTGGGTGCAAAAGGGTCAGACATGACTTAGCCATTAAGCAACAAAATGACAACAAAGATTTAAGTAAATAGATTTTTAGACTTGCAGATAAAATTTAAGTCTACTTAGTTAACACTCTTCATCCTAAATATGAGAAAATTGATGTCACGAAAGGTTTAAACCATATCCTCTTCCACTTGTTGTGGATTCCAACTTAATTTTACTCTTCAGATTGAAGGGTCACCATCAAATTTTGGCTGAGATTGGTCCTTCCATGATTTTTTGCTCTGTTCAAGTCTCCAGACAGGCTCCCTATGCTTCTGTAAAGCTTTCAAATGAAACCTAAGACTTGATAAGAAAATTTGTTATTTTCAGAATCATTTTCTTTCCTTAAGAAAGTAATTTCCTTATACTCCTAATCTCATTACCCAAGACGCTTGCCAGTAAAAAAGTAAATTTTGCTTGACAGTGATTTGACTTAGCTGTTCCAAGGAGACTGAGCAGAGTTGAGTGCCATCATGCATATTATTGAAAAACTCCATGAGAGATTACAATATGGACCCCTTTTTAAAAAGCTGTTGATAAAGCCCAGCATTCTTAATTCAAAACTAAGAGAATTAGTATCCAATAGCAAAATGGTTTGCCCAAGTTCTAAACAAATGTGATAGTGGTATTTAAATATTATATCTGGAATTAAATCCCACTTTAAGACTGCTTTTTCCCCCACTTCATTTTCTTAATTGGATCTTGTGGAAATTGACTTTTTTTTTTTTTTTTTTTTGGTCTCTCAACCTTTCTCATCCATACATCTTTGATTTTTACATTAATGGTTGGTATCATTACTTTTTTTCTCCCCATATTTCTTATGCTTTCACACTTTAGAATCTCAATGTTCTTTGCCAAGATTCTGAGAAAGATGGTGTAATGGTCTGCCTCCCTTATTAAATGATGGACTTTTCATAATGGAGTAGATTTTTAAAAAATGGACTTGATTTTCTTTAACATTTGTAGTCATTTTTAGTCTGTTGATTAGATCGTTCAGTTGTAACACTGATGGCAAACTACAAAATATGTTCATAACTAGATTTAAAGGTAGGTTTCAAATGTCTCTATGTAATGTCAGATATAGGCAATTAAAAAGGTAGGAGTTATACAAAGCTTTTAAAATAATATCAATACCATTTGTTTTGTAATGGAAGAAGTTGCCATGGTAAATATGGATTTGTTCCTAATTAATTCAGACATAAGAGCATTACTAATTGCCTAATTTTCTCCTAAATGGGCTTTGGTATGTAAGTATTTACGGTTACCACATATGACAAAGTTTAAGTTCATTTCTAAAATGTCTGAGGAGTTTCATGCTCTTTCTGAAAGTGAATGAAATTTATGTGAGGATTTGAAAGATTTTAGTATTTTATATTGTAGTTTTATTTTGAACCTTTTCCAGTTACTGTAATATTAGGAAGAAAACGTACATTCTGTACCTAAAGTTTTAGAAAGTAGTGTGTTTTCTTTTCCCTAATTGCTAATGAGAAAATAATTCCAATGCATTTGTCATCTTTTCAACAGATTGTTGGAAGCCAAATGCAAGGCCTTATCAGCTAGAAATTTAGTTTGTTCCCTTTGTTTTGCTATGCTTAGACACTCAGTCATGTCTGACTCTTTGAGACCCCATGGATTACAGCCCACCAGGCTCCTCTGTCCATGGGGATTCTCCAGGCAAGAATACTGGAATGGGTCGCCATGCCCTCCTCCAGAGGATCTTCCCAACCCAGGGATAGAACTCAGGTCTCCTGGATTGCAGGCCAGTTCTTTACCATCTGAGCCACCAACCCTAACCCCCTTTGTTAGTCTTCTGTAAATATGACTCCAGTGAGGGAAAAGCAGTGCTATAGTGAGCATTCTACATCGTATGCGATCATGCATTATGGTGATTGGTTATACCCAAATCAGTACCTTTATAAGATAAAAATCAGTGTATCAATCTCAGATTAAACAAGCAAGTCCTTTTCAATCAAGTGTGATTATTTTTACTCTTTTAAGTAATCCCAAATGTGTAATTCATAACGGTTGTGAGAAACTAGTAAAAATAAATGTGTTACTCTTCTGAATATATGTGGATATTTGGATTCCAGTCTTGTCTTTTTTTTTTTTCTTTTCCTGTTCATCTGTACAACTCTAATGAAACCATTTTGGCCGAGGGAAACTAATAGACTTGGAGTAGCTAAATCTCTACTATTGAATCACAAGTATTCGCTTAAATGGTAAGTTCTAGTTTCATAAAGAGGAAATCTTGCAGAATCAATGCACAAGGATGCCTGCAAAGGAAATCAAATCAGAAAACTTACTCAGGTTCAAATACACAAATAACCAAAAAGTGATAAATTTAGTGATAAATGGTACAGGGTATTTTCTGATATTTTCTCCTATTTTTTTTTCCACCTTTGAAGCTTAAATCATTTGGCTGGTTGGTTTGGTTACAAGTATCATGAAAAATCTCCATAGCCTCTGTGTTCTCCAACTGTGTTTGTGGTGTGTGATATATAAAATACCTTTTCTATTTGAGCTGCTATAACAGAAAAATGAAAGATTGGGTGGCTTGTAATAACAGAAACTTACTTCTTACAGTTCTGGAGTCTGGAAGTCTGAGAGCAGGAGGCCAGCCTGGTCTAATTCTTGTAAGGGCCTCTTGCAGCTTGTTGACAGCTGACTGCTTATATCTGCATGTGCTGGAATGCAGAGAGAGGAAGCAAGAGCTTTGTGAATTTTCTATGGGCTCCTCCCTCATGAACTCATCAAATCCTAATTACTTCCCAAAGGCCCACCTCTTGGAGCAATCACATTCAGAGGGTAGAGTTTCAACCAAGGTGGAGAGAGACAAAAATATTCAATCCATAACAAGGAGTTCGGAGCTTAGAATAAAGCAAAACCAGTTTCTAATTAAAATAATATTAGGAATTATTTATTCTTTTATTACATCATGACCATGAGACCTAAAAGAGAAATATGTATCTTAGGAAAAAATGGGGATACCTGCAATTAAGGGCTTCAGTGATAAAGAATCTGCCTGCCAATGCAGGAGACTTGGGTTCAATCGCTGGGTCGGGAAGATTCCCTGGAGAAGGAAATGGCAGTCCTCTCCAATATTCTTGCCTGGAAAATCCCATGGACAGAGGCGTCTGGTGGGCTATAGTACACAGGGTCACAAAGGGTTGGACACAACTCAGCAACTAAACAACAACAACCTGCAAATGAATAACTTAAAATGCTGTTTATTCAGGACATATTTGCTGAGTGCCAAAAATTTTAAGGCATTACACTAGATGCTGTTGAGGATACAGAAGTGATTAACATGATATTTCTGCCCTCTCTGGTTAATATTGGGTCATTTTAATTTCTACTTATATTACCTTTCTTGTTGATGCTCTTCTCAGTTGATAACTCTGAAGATAAGCAGATTTTCTGTGACTATCTAACGTGTACCAACGACAGTTTTATTCTCTGTTATATGTCTGCATGAAGAGACTGAGCTTTATTCTTTTCTTGACATTTATGGCATCCATGTACCTGTACTCCACGAAAGGTTACCTAAATCAAATTTATTCCAAATGGCCAACATTTAACATTAAAAGTGTGAAAGGCAAGGTAAGGTTCTCTATAGGTCAGCCCTGAATTGACTGACTGAATTATAACCAGGGAATGATGAATTACATATTCCCTTTTAGTTTCAGATACTGGCTAACAGATGTATTGATTCTAATACTCACTCTGTTGTTCAGTAGAATTACTGCCATTACTTACCTTTCGATTTTGATCAAAATATTTTCAAAGTCGTTTGTAACTCCATTGTTACAATTTCTCAATTCATTTTAGTATATGCTTTGGAAGGTATTCCATTGTTTGGGTAATTATTCACAATTAAGCACAAAGACAAGGTCATTACCTACTTAAACAACAACAAAAAAAGTTATCAAAATTTTCCCATGGAGAAATTCAGACTGAAAAATAAACCTTGTTAGATGTCTTGGAGTTGAACACAAGAATTGAAACTAAGAGAAGCGCTCAGGATGTTTTTGTAACTTAATGTTGGATTTTGTATCCATGTGTTACAAGCTCCTTCATATACATATATATATATATATATATATATATATAATGACTGGAAGTAAATGGAGGTGGGGTATCATCTTAGGATGCAGAGGACCTGTAAACAGACATCCTTTGACTGCAGTGGGAGCTGGGGGAATTTGCATCTCCTGAAATCCTATACCATTGCCATTTCTCATGGGCTACATTACTTAATACTGTCAAGGGGTTGCGGACTGAGTACAGATGGAAAAATTTTTGTTTTAGATGCAACAACTAGTAAATAACAATAGAATTGTATATAAAAAAAAGAAATGTAAGTCATGACATCACGAGCAGCATAGAGAACTAACTATGCCTCAAACAGGGGTAATGTCACCCCACAGGGGTGGGTCCTCTCTAATCTGACCTCTGAACTATATCCTCAAAAATTCCTATCAGTACAAGCTCAACTGTTTTTCCTTCTGCAAACCTCCTTAATTGTAATCATGGCATCATAATATTACAGTCATTCTGACTTAGAGTTCTCAGCTTCTATTTTCTTCCCACCATCTAGTTACCGGTCACCTCCTTCCCAAATTCTGCTTCATACCTGACTGATTTTCCCCATGGCTACACCACAGTCCAAATCCTATTACCTCTGAATAAAATCAGTAAATTAGCTTCCAAAAGGATATTTCTGATCCAGCATACATTTTTTTTTTCCCCCAAGTCATTCTAAATCTGGCGTGACCACATTTAGCTGTAGTAAATAAAGCACAACGCTGATCAGGTCACTCTGCCCATGCTTTTCAGTATTTCACTGTGAATCTTGAGAATTCTTAAATTACTAACCAGACAAGGCTCAACTGTGTTTTCTATCTTCTGATCCTTTTGTTCTATTAAAAAAAAAAAAAAAAAGAGCCGTGACTTATGAAGTAGCCCTGTGAAATACAGTGAGAATCAAAAATCCACATAAATGATAGAGATGCTGATTTTCCAGTGTTTTTCAGATTTTTAGACTCAGCACCATTTGGACAAAATAAAGAGCCTCTGGATTGCTTATGCCAGCTATTCAGCATCAAGAAAAAGAATTTTGATACATGACAGTTTAAAAAGACAAATACTGTGTATACTGTAACTCTTTAGATCACTCCTCTGTAATATTGGGGACATCCTAATGAGTATAAATTTACAATACGTCACACTGTAAGAAGCAATAATAATGAAAGCTGTCAGGGTTCTCTGAAATTGAGGTTGAAATACTACTCACATCAAGAGTATTGCTGATTCCATTACAAATGAGGGAACGTCTCAGAGGTCTTTTATGTAGTAAAATTCCCTCCCTAGAGAAGATAAAGACGTGTATAAATGCTGTGCAGTTGAAAGAGGACATATTGCTGGGGATGGGCAGTTTAAACAGTCACACAGTTTGTTAGTGTGTGTTAAATATTAATGCTGGAATCTCCTGGTCTTAAAATACTTAAAATTAAACCTTCCAAGATAAAAACAAAACTGTCTAGTCAAATACACCTAATGGAAATATGTGACCCTTCTGTTCACCCCCCCCCCCCCAAATTCCATTCATCCTTCAGAATGTTTCCCTTTTAAAACCTTTCTGACTATTCTGGGCTGAAGTCTTTCATCAGCACCCTAGACATTGGCTTAAATATTGATTGCATCAAGAACCATGGATCTTCTGTGAGATGCTATTACTCAGTTTTCTTTTAAACTGTGCATTTCCTATGCATATTTTTGCATATTTATCAATCTGTCTCTCTATACATAGAATATGCCCCTCCCCACACCATGAAATCAATGAAAAATAATGAAGGATGAGGAGGGACACAGAGAAAGAAATCACAAGTGTGCCTGGAGCTGGCCCTTGGTCCCCTCACAGCATTGCAGGCATGAATTCAGGAGGCGGGTGCAGTAACAATATCCCTACATCTCAGGATGAACTCTTGAGCATTGTTGGATGGGAGTTTAAGGGATGGAACCATTTGACCATCCTAGTTCCTGTGGTCATCATACTGCTCAGCAGATAAAACTATGTAAGAGTCTTCAGCAGTTAGGACTAATAGGACAAGCTCTCTAACAATCTATAATCAGCATCAATATTGTTTTGCAAATCTATCAAACTTTTTCCAACTTCCTTTCACAAGCTAATCAGAATGACCTGCACTCCTGATCAATGGTAGGCCAAAGTAATCCTAGTATCAGTGCTTACATGGAGTGGAGGAACAGTCTTTTATGCCCCTACTCCAGATGGGATTCCAGAAGCTCTTCACATGCCAGCTTGTGCATTTAGTAGAATTTCCATATTCAGCTACATCTGAAAGGAACCTCTTCCTCTCAGGGTAATGATTCCCTTTGATGAGGACTTTTCTGAAGATACTTTCCTGGAAGATGTGAAAGCCTGCCCTGAATCAACTTAAAGACATAATTGAGTAGGAATGAAGATCATTCACCCCATCACTTGGAAAATAAGTATTTCTCAACATAAAAGGGTAATTAAACTTGATGCCTTCAGTACTTCAGCAATTACTATACTGTTTAGCCTTGTAGTTTTAATACAAGTTTCATTTCCCACTTACTCTGTAATTAACCATTTAATTATTTTAATTAATCACTAAAGAGACATTTACTTGTGCTAAGTCAGGTATTGTGCTAGGTGGATGGTCGATAACTTAAAAGATTCATATTCTTTAAGGTAGAAAATTTGTAGTACATGCAGCCCATGTATATGTTTTCTTCTTTTTCCCATTTCTGCCATTAGCTAGTTATATGAAATGTACAAAATAGATCTCTCTCACACACATATACACATACGAACTTCTCTTAGAATAATATTCTTTTATCTTTTCTATTTAATCTCATGTCATTTTACTCCTCTACAGAGACCATATCTTTCATCCTATTGATAGAAACAAGTACTTTATAACAATTACTTCTTGCTCCTACACTCAATGATTTGTGGATATATACTTTCCTTCTTAAACTTTAAGATAACAGTACTTGATTTCCTTTTCCTCTTCAACCCCAAATATGTGGAGGAATACATAAACTTGGTGTTTGTTGGTAAGGTGAGTTGATTTCCACTTTCAGTATGTAAGGTACATTTAAAGATTAAAGGACACCCAAGCTAGGTGTATGGGTAGGCTTATGGGTATAGTTCTTATATCAAAGGTAAATATTTAGTGCAACCCTGAAGAACTGAGATGAGTTCATCTCCTGTTGCTTGTTGCCTCTGTCCCTATAAAGATTTAAAATACTTTATCCAGAACATGTTATTCTGATCACAAATCTAATTATAAAGCTTTACATGTAGAGAATATACTAGTCTCCACCCTACCTTTCAACTCCTTCTGTGGTAGACAGAATAATACCCCCACTCCCAAAGATGTTCATGTGCTAATCCTTGGAGCCCGGTAATGAGTTACCTTCCATGACCAATGGGACTTGGCAGATGTGATCTAGGTTATAGACCTTGAGGTGGGGAGGTTGCCTTGTTTAGCCAGGTGGACGCGAAGTCATCCTGTGAGTTCCTTAAAGTAAAGACCTCTTCCAGGCTGTGGTCTGAGAATGATGGGACAGGCGAAGAAGAGGCAAGAGTAGTTAAAGTCTTGAGGATTCTGTCTGCTGTTGCTTCAAAGATGGTGGCCAGGAGTCAAGGTGTGCACTCCACCTTCAGAAGATGGAAAACAATCTTCCCTAGAGCCCCCAGAACAGAAAGCAGTTCATCTAACAACCTTGGTTTTAGCCCAGTAAGACTCACACCAGACTTTTGACTTAAAGAAGTCTAAGATAATAAATTTATCCTATTTTAAGACATAAAGTTTGTGGTAATTGTGCGTGAAAGCAATTTAGAAAATTAATATACCATTCGAAATAGTGTTCGGAGTTTAAGTTTCTGAATGCATATAGAAAGCTAGGAAGAAAGGAAATTGCAGTACTCTGCCACCCCTACCCAGATGCTATCTCTATGCTTAGGAAGAGATACTTCCAGATTCTCATTAGTCCAGAGTTTGGGCCTCAGAAACAGGGAGGAGAAGACGTTTATTTAGAAAAAATTAAAGTGATAATATCACTGTTGTCTCAGATAAGAAGTTTTGTGGGGTTTTTTTGTTGTTGTTGTTGTTTGTTTTACTTTTTTTTCCTATTGGAAGCATAAAGCGCCTACATTGAGAAGTTAAGATCTGATTTGGCAAATTCATAGTCCGAGGCTAACTCTGAGAATTGAAGACTCCAGATTAGACAGGAGTTATTACATCTTAATCAGAGGACTGATCACTTTAGATAGTCAGCTGAGTTCTTCTCCCAATTCCAGTGGTGTTGCCTGTGACAGTCAACTGACCTGAGATTCCACATCCTCATTTGTTAACTCAGAGCTATATGTAATATCCTCTTAAGACACTTCCAAATCTATATGCCAATAATTCCAATTATTATTATCTCAATGTTTATGCAGTGAGAAATTATCATTTACCAGGGTTGGAAAAACAACAAAGGTGCTCTTGGAACAAACAAAATGGTAAACTATTGAAACTCCAAGTTCAGTTTGAGATTGTAGTATAGGAACTAAAAGTAAAGAGGTTGTTGTATTTAAGATGGGTGGAGGCAGTGAAAGAAAGCCTCCAGTGCAAAGATGATTATCATAATGAAACAACTGTAGAGAGAACTACTTTGCCTTGGAAACATTAGGGGAAGAACTCTCTAGGCTGAAGGAAAACTAAGCACTAAGGTTCTGAAATGAAACCATCTCTTAGATTCCAGGAACCAGAGAATGTCTGGGTAGAGGATTAGGAACCAGGAAAAGATACTGAGAAGGTGTGACAAGCAGTGAGGGAGAAAGAGAATCTGACTTCAGGAGAGAGAGAAAAAATATGAAATAGTCACTTCAGAAAGTGAGAAATAATGACATTATCCAGCAGTGTTGTCGCGTAGCAGTGTCGAGTGACAAGTTTGTGATCATAAACTTAAAGTGGAACTAGTTGTCCCATTCTGTGATTTTTCACAAATAAAAATTCACCAAGAAAGAGTGGAAAATTGGCTTCAAAAATTGAGTTTCTGTTTATTAGTATGAAAGAGTGGACAAGAAAGCCCTTGGGATGTAGTAAATCACTTGATGGACAGTGAAATATAAGCTGAAAAGGTAGGAAATGAATATAGGAGAAGGCTGATAAATGGGGAAAAGGGAACAGAGTCAATGCAATCAAACCTTTTATGGGTTACAATAGTTTAGTCATAGAAATACTAGAAGAAGTGGTCTGGAGGGGGAGATGCCTTATGGAGAATGGGATGTTTGAAATCCAGATGTCAGATGTGCTACTGTTTCAGGTTATGAAAAAAGGTCAAGTTGAGGCCCAAGAAGTTTGAGTAAGATGACATGAATTTCACCTTCTCTAGCAAACATATCAAAAACATGTCTTATAAAAAACTAATTGGAAACTGGCAGAACTGTACAACCAAGACTGCGAGAAAGGTTCCTATATCACTAGGTAGGATTGGAAGAAAAGCATCAGGTTGGGACGTATGTCCCTAGAAGGGGGCTAAGAAGAAGGAAAATCACATAGGTGGACACTCACCCTGGGCAGTGAGCAGGTCGAGCCACAGACTGGACATCCCAGTCCGGGAGTCTGTGGACAGGAAACTAGCCCGCTCGGCTACTTAGGAAACTGCTGAGACAGTTAAAAAGGCCGGAGATGCCTAGACTCCACTCATGCACACGCCCTGGCATGGGCTGCCACCAGCAGCGACAAGAGATGGATGCCTCCTCATGGAGCTCCTGAATCGGAGCTGAGTGAGCCCTGTCCCACTCACTCCATGCCGTGACTTGCCACTGGATTTAGGGCAGTCAGTTCTTGGCAGAAGACTCAATTTAGGGACACAGAGATGTCCCAGGGACTTGGAGTGTGGTCCAGATCGAGTAGCACTTTCCATTGTTGGAACTTAGGCAAAAAGTGTCACAGAAGCAGCCACTTCAGCAACCACAATGCCATGATCCCTAATGCTAGCCAAATGAATGCTCTGGCCCTGCCCACTCCACACCACCACCTTGCACTGGAGGTAGGATGACCACAGCAAGAGAAAAGACACAACCATATTGCTACATCTGAGTGGAGTCACAGATAGCCACACATATCCTATAGATAGGATACCTATCTATCCATCCAATCTCTGTAAGCACATGCACCCCATTTACTGCAGTACTCCCCTCCTTTGGGGCAGGGAGAAGGAAGAAGATACAGTAAGTGAACAGAGCTAGCATAAGCCTAACCCTCAGGGCATCCACTCCGTCAGAACAGACCCCACCCTTGAAAGAGCAACTGCCAGGGAGTCCTACTCACACTCAGCACCGACTTTAGATCCTGCAACACAAACCACACTTCCTATCAAGGTGACAGGAGCCTACACACCTGAGGGAAAATGTAGTGGACATCTACATCAAATCCAGCCTTGCATCGAAGATCAAATAAAAAAAGCCTTGCATGTAGGTCACACCATCTACATAGGCATGCTATCACAGGAAAACAACCACTCAAGACCACAATAAATAACTTCCATCTAGATTATACAGTTAAGTAAAATGAAAATGCAGAGGAACTATTCCCAATTGAGAGAGCAAGAGAAAATTTCGGAAAAAAACAATGAAACAGTGATAATCACTCTAACAGACAATAAGTTTAAAAAGTTGGTAATAAAAATGCTAATCAAGAGAATGCAAGCACAGATCATTTTAACAAGGAACTAGAAGCTAGAGGAAGACCCAATCAAAAATAGATAATTGTTTCTGAGATAAAAGCACTCTAGAAACAACGAATAGCAGACTAAATGACACAGAAGGCCACTCAAGTGATCTTGGAAGATAGAATAATGGAAATCACCCAGTCAGAAGAGCAGACAGAAAGGCAGGTGAAACAATGAAAGTGGCACACAGGATCTATGGGATAATATAAAATGCACCAACATCTGCATTATAGGAGTTCCAGAAGGTGGAGAGGGAGAAGGGGATCTAAAATATATTTGAAGAAATGATGGCTGAAAACCTCCCAGATGTAAAGAAGGAAACATTAATGTACAGAAGGTATAGATGGTCTCAGATAAGATGAATCCAAATAGACCCAAACTAAGACATGTTAATATTATAATTAAAATGGCAAAAGTTAAAGGGAAAATTCTAAAGGCAGCAAGAGAAAAAGCATAGGTTACAAGGGAATCCCCATAATTCTATCAGTTGATTTCTCTGCAAAAGCTCTGCAGATCAGAAATGAGTAGCATGATATATTCAAAGTCCTCAAAGGGAAAAGCTTGCAATCTAGGGTATTCTACCCATCAAAAGTATCATTTAGAATAGGAGAATTTCCCAAGCAAGCAAATGCTGAGAGAGTTCAGCAATATTAAATATACCATAAAAGAAATGTTGATGGGCCTATGGTCTACCATGTATAAACTAGCTAGCTAGTGGGAGGCTGCTGTGTAGCACCAGAAGCTTAGCTCGACACTCTATGATGACCTAATGGGTGGGCTGGAGGGCTGGGGTGGGAGAGAACACTCTGTGATGACCTAATGGGTGGGATGGAGGGGTGGGGTGGGAGAGAACACTCTGTGATGACCTAGATGGGTGGGCTGGAGGGATGGGGTGGGAGAGAACACTCTGTGATGACCTAGATGGGTGGGATCTATAGGAAAGGAATAATTCCAATAGGAAAGGCAAATTTATAAAAGTACTGAAGATCACTTGAATAAACCTGTATGTAGATTAATAACAAAAAATGTCAGAAAAGCAACAATAACTACAAAGACATATTGTATGATATCACTTATATGTGGTCTCTAAAAAAATAATACAAATGAAGGTATATGCAAAACAGAAGCAGACTCAGAGACATGGAAAACAAACTTGCATTTCCCAAAGGAGAGAGGGAAGGGGGAAGACAAATTAGGGGTATGGGACTAACAGCCTCAAAACTCTGCATATAAAATAGAAAAGCAACAAGGATATACTATACAGAACAGAGAATTACACCCACCAACTTATAATAACCTATAATGGAGTATAATTGCAAAAATACTGGATCACTATGCTGTACACCTTAAACTAACACAATATTGTAAATTAACTATACTTCCATTCAAAGAAAATGCAGGTTGTGTCAGTGGGGATTTAGCATCAGGGAATTGGAGGAATCGGTTGTTGGAGGGGGGTCATCAGAACCTCACAAGCCCAAGTATGTGATGTGCATCTAGTAAATATTGACAATCAGAGTCTGTCCCAGAAAGACCAGGAGGAGGCAGCTGGCATTGAATTGCAGGAGTTCTCAGGAACATAGAAACAATCTCACAACTGCCCAGCCCTTGGCACTTTTTGTTTATTTCCTCAAAGCAACAACAGTATTTTTTAAATTCCTCCTCAATTTAGAGTTTAAGTTCTTTCTTTTCTGTTTTTGGAAGCTGAAAATCCTGGACATTTTTGTCAACAACTGATCAGACCCTTTTCGTATTATTCAAAAAGCATGTGACATTATGAACCTTAATTTTCTTGGAAATTACTATTTCCATTGAATACACTTTGGAGTATATCACAACTATAATTTAGTACATTTTGTCATCAGACACCAGGAAATCATCTACATTATAGCACCTCTACTCACCACCTCCCACCATTTCTTCCAGGCACACTCATTGCAGATGTTTGCTCNCGTATTATTCAAAAAGCATGTGACATTATGAACCTTAATTTTCTTGGAAATTACTAT